TATAATTTACACTATAAAAGGCTAATTCAATATTATCAGTATAGTATACAGTTAAAAATAATCCTAATACCCAACCACAATATCTTATTATGTATAGTACCACCTCGTTGGTCTAGTGGTTGTAGTAGTGCGACTGCTGATCATGAGGTCTCGGGAATCCCGGGTCGGGCCAAAAAGTCAGTTATAAGTTTTTCATTTATGTTCTAAGTTATAATTAGTATTACTAAGTTATAGTTTTTTGCTAAAATATAGTATATTATTTATTGCTTGTTTTTTTCTTCTTTTTCAAAAAATAATTGAGTACATAAGGTGTTCTATACGCCGAATGTCAGAGAGAAAAGCTAGTACATCTTTTGCTAAACTTTAAAATCTAAAACCAATTTTAAAACAGACGAATTGATCATAACTCCCTTAGCTATAAAATAAGTTATGATCTAATTAATGGTATTTATTCCAGTTTATGGCAGCCCTGATTTATATTACGTGGCTGAAATTAGGTACTTCTTATTAGGTACGTCAAACCAAATAACAGCCGGGCGGCTGACATTATGCACTCCATACATTTCTTATATTATCCAATTACAGCCCCATTAATTTCCACTAAAAGAAAATAAATAACTTGTAAATTCAAACAAAAATAACTGCATTACTATGTCTATAGTCATATTCATACAAATCAAAAAGCCTATATATGATATAATGTAAAGTAAGCATAATTTTACCGGGATCATAACTTGTCGAACAATTAGGAAAATGATCGTTTTTCGTTGCGTACCTGTTTTGATCTTAACACTGTTAGGTTTAAAACTGCGAGGTAATATTTGAATAAATATACTTTCCTCTAGGTACATAGAATTTTTTAGATGACCATATTTGTAGTTAAGACTACTAGAAATCTTATTTATGGAGTAAAAAGGCGAAAAGACTGGAATTATGGGCTTCCACCCTAATTCGGTAAAAAGTATCTAAGTAGGTATTAATATACCTACTTTTTACTATAAACTAAATTTTTTTAAAACTAAATTAATACTAAAAAAAACTAAACTGACCATTTATTTTTTAACTCAAAACAGGACATGGGTTTATTTATACTCTAAAAACGATAACTTTATACAATTAGTGTTCAATATAAAATTATATTCGGTATAGACGGTAATTATTAAGTGCAACTTATTTTTTTAAATTATTAATTACATTTGTCAGTGGATTAAATTTGCTTTAATAAAGTTGGTGATGATTTTAAATAAGAATAAAACTCTGCTCAAGTTTTTTTATTGTTACCTTTGTTAACAACATCGCCTTTAGAACTGGAACCGTAAGTGTTTCTTTCAGACGACCACAATTTATTCAAAATAAAAAAATACTCTTTCTACTACATTTGTACCAGGGAGACATAAAATATATTCGATTAAAAAAAAATTATGTTGAAGACTTAATTGAATTATGAGTTGACTTTGAATACTTCCATCCAACGAGTTACGGGACAATTTTGTGTCCCGGAGCTTTGTTTGGGGACAATGGGACAGGTGACCGAGAAAAGGGACAGTCCCGTTCAAAACGGGACGTATGGTCACTTTAGCTATAACTCGGCGACGGCTCCGTGGCGCAGTGGCTCAGTTGTTGCCCTGGGGGCCGCGGGTTCGAATCCCGCACGGAACAAGTATTTGTATGGCCTACAAATAATTGTTCCGGGTCTGTATGTTTGTACTTGTGCAATTTATGTTTGTAAACTTCCTCCACGGCACAGGAGAAAATCCTAGTGTGGGGGTAACGTTTTTTTACAATTGAAATTGAAAGATTGAACCCTTATACTTCTTGTTGATTTTTGTATTACCTTTATTAAAGTTACCCTTATGTATAAATAAATATAATTACGTATGTAGAAATAAAATTGATTTTCATCCTCATCAATCATTGGGGTGAGGATAATGACTGCCAGCATAAGTAATAAGCAGGCTAAGTTACAAGGTGCTCAGTTCAAAAATTAGTAGGTAGGTATTTACTTTTCAATACGTGACACGTAAAAATTAACAATAATCAAAAACACATCTGCGAAACATCCTATTTTTTTTTTATTGCACCAAATATTTGTACAAAAGCCGAGCTATCTATTTATTTACCTATAGTGAATAGGTATCTTTTAAACTCACAATTTTCAATGCTTCATTTTTAATATATAATTAATTATAAAATTTCATAATTAGATAATATATGAAAATACATAATTCTAATATAATGCAACTAATATATACCGAATAAAAAAATTTAAATACATTTATCTTTGTACGCTGTGTGTATTTCCATAAAATAATTTATTGATGTTGAAAAAATAATACTTCGTTCGTACAATAGGTGGCGTCTTACATATTTCTTACGCAATAATATATTGTAGCGAGCGGCGTGCCGGTCAAATGCTCAAGGTCGTTCGCATGGAGTAGCCCCTTAACCGATTCGTTGCGGCACCAATTTTCGACAACTTTTAGCTGTGGCGGCGAACAAATATTTCATGACCAGAAGTTGATGACACGCCTATTGTGCCATCAGCCATGTGTAAAAGTATCTCTCTTATCTATTTTATGCTTTTTTCACTTATTTAGACCTAATTAAGTTTATTTGACCTCGAACATCAGTTACAAACAGAAGGATACTTGTTTTTAGTGAGTAACTACGTTTTTTCTACGTGTTTTCTTTGAAATTGAGAGAAGTGACTTTTGTACTATTTAAAAAAAAAAGGTTTATGATTCATTGATATTTACAAATGTTAAATATTATTTAATGTTATACAAATATAAAAGTAAAGTCGATTTGAAAACATCTAATTAGTAAGAATAGCAAAACAAGTGTTTTCAAAAGGAAAAAAACGCCGGCGCTATACGGTAGCGGATTGACAAAAACCTATTTATTAGCGAACTTTTTATGCATGAACGGTTTCGAACTGTTTCAAGCAAAAATAAACCTTATACCATATCACAAGAGCACATGGTACTTCGTAGGTCCATTCGGCCAAATGATAGTAATAAGACAACAGTTCAACCATTTTAAGCAATTAATTAAACAATAAGACAAACGCATTGTTTTTTTTTTAACAGGAGACTTATTTTACAGAAATTTATTTACAACTTGAGTTTGTGAGCGATCGCAATGAGTGCTATTATTTGTTACTTATCAGACTATTTTTCCACAACATGATCTAAAACCTACAAAGTAAAAAGTTTTCAAATTTTCAAAATATCCAGAAACGAAGCTGTACGCATAAACTACTTGCAAAATAATGAATATTTTGTTCTGGATAAATTTTCCAAAAACGCAATTTGAGCGAGTTATAACGATTTAAAAAAAGACACGACTCGCGTGTCATACGCAACACACAAAGTAATCGATGGCACGCCTGGCGTGTCATCCGCACCGAACCGGTTAAAATAATGCATTACCACGCATTTTGTACTCAAAAGAAGGACAGAATGTTTAAGTTTTAATTAATTTTATTCACCATTTGCCCTATTGCTTCTTCTGAAACTTCTCTGCAAATTTGTCCGGTTATTGTTCACATATTATTATCAATACCTATCCTATTATATAAAACAATGGGGCATCCGTAAGATCTTAAAGCAGGTAAAAACACATTATGATAAAAATGTAATTTCTGTAAGCTGTAGTAAGAATGGTCCGGTTATATTGCTCGAAGAACCGACAACCGTTGTAGACGGAATGTTCTCGAGTGGCGTCATCGTATCGATAAACACTGTGTTCAGCAGTGGACTTGTGAAGGGCTGTAATGATGATGATGATGAATGTCATCGTGGCAGGAAATGGAAATCCAAAATAAAACCAACATACAAAACTTAGTTTATTTAATATTTTTATACAAAATCAACAACCTCCAAGAGAAATGTACAACACCAAATAACCTAAAATTCACATTATTAAAAAATATTACTAATACATAACCACACCTAAACGGATTTCGATAACTTCATTAATATTTAATTACGATAATATTCATATCACTTTCAAATTTAAGAACGACAAACAAACTTATTTACATTGATCCGACACAATTTGTCAATTAATACTAAAAATATAAAAGATCACTTTTTTACAACAAAGGCATAAATCGCATTCTGCCTAATTTTTTTTACATCGTAAAAAAAGCCTCGGTCACACATAGCGAATACTCGCTGCGATTAGGCACTCGCAGCGAGAATTCGCTGTGTGACAGGATCTTCATCTGCCGCCAAAAAATATATCAACTGTGTAAAATTCAAATACAAAATAAGTAAAAGTAAAATTACTGCCTATATACGTTCCACAGCTGGGCACAGGGACTCTCAGTTATGAAAGGGTGTCTATCGTAAGAGGCGTATGAAGGAAACGGAAATAGAAGATGGGCAGAAACACCTTCGTGTAAGAACTCGATAATAATAAAAAATGACGGTTGCCTCCCCGCCTGCCAAACGTGGCAACTATGGCAAATGAGGCAACCAAAGGGGGTGACCTGTATATTGCAATGGACTTTTCTGCCGACTTCCAAAAAGGAGACGGTACTCAATTCGACTGTTTTTTTTTAAATGTGTTACTTCATAACTTTTTAGTGGGTGAACCGATTTCGATGATTCTTTTTTTTTTTATTTGAAAGCTGGTACTTTTTGTGTGGTCCCATATGAATTTGATCAAGGTCCGACCAATAGTTTTTGAGTTATTCTTAATAACTTATATTGAAGTCGGCTCAAGTTTTACACATTAAAAAAAATTAACTCTTAGGTTTATCCGTAGTTTGTTTCAACAATTTATAATGTAATGAATACAAAATACAACTAATATTCTAGAAAGAATAATCTTCTAAAAATCAAAACACTTTTCTAAAAATTTTAACTGCCCCGTTTTGAGATCTGTCAAATATTTCACCTCGTTCCGTGGCGATGCCCTGGTGACAGAAAAAGTCGTGGATGCGCTCATTACAGAGGAATAAAGCAAAATTAAACACCTAAAACCCCTATCCCCTAACCAGACTCCTTTAAACTGTCATTCTCGAACTGCTTATTCAACCTGAAGTCTTGGGGGCCATGTATGGTCCGTACATGGATCCTGAGGTAACTCGGTCTGGTAAAGAACTTATAGCATATATGACATTGGTATTTCTTCAAGCCCGTATGCGTCTCTAGATGCCTCTTCAACTTGCCCCGGGTAATGAATCCTTTCCCACACTGCTGACAGATGTATGGTTTTTCCTTCGTGTGGGTGAAACTGTGCAATTTCAAGTAGTAATGCAATTTGAAACTCTTGCTGCAGACTTGGCACACGTGCTTCTTCTCTTCCGTCTTCCCTTCGTCTTCTAGAGCTATCTTCGAGCAGTGGCTTTTTAGGTGCTCCTCTAGATAGTAGAAATGCTGGAAGACCTGGCCGCATATGTTGCACATGCGGCTCTGCTCGTCAGGCAGCACTTTGTCGGTCGTGTTACCGGTCGCGTCCGGATTTTTCGGGATCCTTCGCGCGTTTTGGAGTACCATTGCGAGAATTTCCCTGCGGTTTTCCTCGACGATTCTGTAAGGGAAAAATAATTATTAAGTTACACACACATTATATTATAAAAAATTCGGTCACGGCGACCAGTCTCAGTTGACACCACCTGCGCAGGAGATGATTATAGTGTCCATATGCGTAAGCACAGGTGCACTCTCTATTCCCTCACTCTTATAGTCCGATGAAACGGAGAATTTCTTGACAAATAAAGTATATATTTTTTGGCCCGACCCGGGACGCGAACCAGGGACTCAGACCATCTAAACAGTCAGCATTTTTTATAAAACTGAAATGATAAACAAATTTACAAAGCACCTAATGGTAAGTGGCTACTGAAGCCCATGCACACTTGCAGCCAATTTAAGAGAGGGCTACAGAAGCATTGTCACCCGAGGACTAAGATGGAATGGCTCACAGCCTGTAATCATACTGGAGACCTATACTCTTCACACCGGAACACAGGAGTGCTGCTTGAGCAAAGCAGAGTCAGCATGGGCAGGAGACAATTTTATCCCCGAGGGAAGGAGAAAATGTTTATCCCCTCGCTTAGTTTTATCCACCCTTAGAGCATGGGCACACCGGTGGATATAATATCCACAGAAAATAAAATGGGAGATAGACTTGGACTTAGATAGATTTTTGTATGAATATAAACTTAAACCCACATCCAATGAACTAGGATAAATTGTCCCTTTCAAATGTCAAAAAAGCATTATTTTTTATCTTTCATTTGGCTCCATGCTATGGACGGGGGATATATGTCTACTCGTTACGTCAAACTGGGATATACTTCTCCTCGCTTCCGTGCTTTGGCATGGCTTTTGGCATGGCATGGCATGGACAAGATAATTTTATCGCTTGTCAGTGGATGTAATTGGGGGATAAATTTTTTGTCCCCAGCCCATGCTACCCGTACTCTAGTAGAACTGTGAAGAGGGTCACCCCCCTCGAGGTAAGCGCTATTCTGTGTGCGATTCAATTAATAACGTATTTGGCGACCGAGCGACCCTTACGTATGTGTGTGTGCGTAGTAAAATAGTAGGCATTAGTTATTTATGAATGACAATCAGTTCAAATAATACATTACCTCGCATTTTGAATTTAAAAGATAAAAAGGATATTATGTGTTCGCGACGGCCTAACAACGTTAAGAAACAAAGTGATGAAAGAATATTGTTTTGTATTAAAAGTGAAATTACCAACGAAATCGAGTAAATAGTTTGTTAATATAATTTTACAGCATGTTTATAACTCTTTAATATATTTGTATAGAATGTCGTTTTGATAATAGTTCATATAAACAACTTTAATTGTATAAGAAAAAATCGACCAATCACAGCGCGTCGTATCGTAGAACTTTCCAGAAGTTTTTAATTAACTGCGTATAGTTGATACTGAAAATAATTTTATGTTCCGAAAGAGTTATAAATATGATATTGAATTAGCATAAGCTATATAGATTAAGGAAGTGAAGAAATATTTTGTATAATTAAACGCATTTGGTAGTTATAGAAAAATTAAAGAATTAATGTACCCATATATTACGAAAATTTGGGACATTTCGTTTAATAACTTTTTTAAATGTTAATGTACCTTTGCAACCTTTATGATGTACTAATAAAGGACCAAAATGCCAATTTGATGATGTATAGCATGATAGTAAGAAATTAGTCTTGTATAGAAAATATTGCAATTTATGCCAATTTTATGCAATAAAGAGGCAAAACGGACAATGGCAAGCGGCTCACTATAAAGTAACGCCGAAGTCTACCTTATAGGCTCGGGACCCAGTAACGTTGTAGTGTGAAGAACTACCAGTGACTAGCAGTAGTATCCGGTAGTAGCTGAAGTGACTAGTAGCAGAATATGGTGAACAGTGAAAGTGAAAGTGTTAGCTAGCCGAAAAAGGTCGTAACTGAAAATTCGCAGGTACATATAGTGAAAAAGTGTTAGCTAGCCGAAAAAAGTGGTAACTGAAAATTCGCAGTTACATATAGTGAAAAAGTGTTAGCTAGCCAAAAAAAGTGGTAACTGAAATTCGCATTTACATATAGTGAAAGTGATAGTTAATCGCAGAAAGTGGCAACTGTCACTCGCAGTTGTACAAGTGATAAAATCAGCTAGTTTTAGTTGATTAATAGCTGCTAGTCAGTAGTGTTAGAAAACCACCTACTACCAATAGATATTTTGATACTACCGAACAATTTAAAGAAATCTTTTGAAATATGTAGTGACCAACTGGTAGTGAACAACCATAGTTGAACAACCGTATTCAACAACCGTGGTCAATAAATAATAGTTAATAAAATTTCGCGACTGATCAATCAGTCGAACCGCTGGCCACTCCCTTGCTATTTGTATTTATAAATCGTGCATTTTAATTTTGAACCTCAGTCCACAGTATCCCAGCAGCACCCACAAAGACGGCAGTAGAAGTATCCTCCGGAACCTATAGGTGTAGGACGTGAGCGAATCGCGGAGTATCTTCGACAACATTTACTCCGGAGAGTTACGCCCGTCCGGCACAGTATGTTTGAGGTTTTTTTAATTAACTTTTCTTCACCATTTGCATATATTACTTATTCTGAACCTCCTCTGCAAATTTGGCCGGTTATTGCAAAATAACCCTGTATGTTTACACTTTGTAGGTTTTGTATTGTACAACTATTTATAACAAGATTCTTGCAATATTAGTGATTTGCCTTTGCACAAATTCACAGCGCATGTAATAAGCACTCTTGTGAAGAAAGCATATTATAAATTAGATGACTATTTAAAATATAAGAAATGAGTGTACTTAATGAGCTCCCTTCGACTTTTTTTACATATGTATATCTATCTATATAAATAAAATGATAGAGGTGTGCAGTTGTGCGCGCATCACGGAAAAACTACTGGATAGATTTCAATTAGGTTCGCTAAGTTTTATTACTTAGACACTTGGCCCTTAACTAAAAAAAAATATTGCGATATCTTCATTTAATATAAAGTTATTAAAGTTTTAAGAAACAACGATTTTATACGGGGTTTTTCACACGGACAACTGTACGTCGCTTGCTCTCGCGTTACTAACCCAGATAATTTATATATTGTTACGAACTTGGGGTTCGAGACAATTAAAAACTGCCGATTGAATTACCAAAATTAACACTTTAATTACACAACACTAATTACAATCTAAAATCACACTAATAATAAAACACAGTTCGCCGTTATTTCGCTTCGAAGTATTCTCTTGTATCGCCAATTCAATACTGCCTCGGTCGTGGTCTATACCGGCCTTATAAAGGGCCTCAGATAGTTTCTAGAACCTTCTACTGTAGCGACATCTAGACTGTTCGAGTACATATCGGTCTCGAAATTTCTGGAAGGATCTCGACTCTCCTAGTTCTGCTACTCGACACTAGATGGCGCTAGTGTAAGTAGTGTTGCCATGTACAAGACATTAATAGTGGCGCGCAACACTTTCCTTTACTCGACACTAGAGGGCGCTAGTGTAACTAGTGTTGCCATGTACAAGACATTAATAGTGGCGTGCAACACTGCCCCCTCCTAAGACATGCTCGTCCCGAGCATTATTGGCTCCATAATAACGCGCCAGTCGATCCACATCGACAATCTTAGGAGTACCGCTGGCACCTTTCTGTATCCGGTAGGTTACATCATTGATCCTTGTCACAATCCGGTACGGTCTGTCCCCTTTTAGCTTGAAGCTTAGGAGATTTCCCTTTGCTGCGAACTGGATTGTGTAACCACACTAGTGAACCTTCATCAAACCCCTTGTTGTTCATTTTGCGGTCATACCGTGTTTTCATCTTCTCAGACGTTTGCTGGCCCGTCTGTCTGACGTGCTCATAAATGTCATTCATTTTGTTCCGCAAATCGTTTGCATAATCGGTTATACTGCGTGGGGCATCAGGTGGTATTCCGGTGATCAGGTCTACAGGCAGCCGTAATTCTCTCCCAAAGTTTGCGAAAGCTGGCGTTACTGATGTACTTTCGTGAACAGCGCTTCGATATGACAACAAAAACGGTTGTATGTGCCTGTCCCAGTCTCGTTGCCGTTTTTCCACAACTTTTGCCAGGTACCTTTCCAATGTCTGATTAAATCGTTCTACCATTCCATCAGATTGTGGGTGGTAAGAAGTTGTTCGTGTTTTATGAGTACCCATAACTCTGCAAGTTTCCTGGAATATTTAAGACTCGAAATTCCTTCCTTGATCGCTGTGAATCTCTAAGGGTACTCCAAAACGACAGAAGACTTCATGAACTAGTTTATCTGCAACTGTTGAAGCTTCTTGATTTGGAATGGCGAAGACTTCTGGCCACTTAGTGAAGTAATCCATCACAACCATGAAATACTTGTTACCACTTTCACTTTCCGGAAACGGCCCCGCAACGTCAATGGCTATCCTCTCCCATGGTGCACCAACATTGTACAATTTCAATGCGCCTCTACTACGAATTTGAGGTCCCTTTATAGCCGCGCAACTTTTACATTTGCGGCACCAGTCCTCGATATCGTCACGACAGTGGACCCGGTAAAACCGTTCTCGGATCTTCAGTAGAGTTCGTTTAATCCCAGGTGGCCTCCTGAACAACCACTATGGTACAGCTGTAGAACATCCGGTACTTTAGCCTTAGGGACAACTATTTGCAAATGACAACTGTCTCCCCGACCATTTTCCCATTTACGGCACAGGACTCCATCCTGAATCAGCAAGCTGTCCCATTGGGCCCAATAGCTTTTCGTGGTCGAACTCATTGCTGAGACGTCGCTCCACTTGGGTTTAGGATCACTGGCCTTCATCCATTCCAGAATCGGCTTAATGCCCGAATCTTCCTGCTGTGCATGTTGTAGGCTGTCCTTCCATTCATTGCTGAGCTGGTCTGTCCTGAATATCCTCGCAGATACCACTTCCTTACCCTCTTGCCTAGTACAATGCTTGCAATCTTCAGGGCAAGGTCTTCTTGATAATGCATCTGCATTGCCATGAGATTTCCCGCTGCGATGTTCGATCACAAAGTCGTATTCCTGTAGTAGTTCTATCCATCTCGCAACTTGTCCTTCCGGATTTTTGAACTGCAATAGCCATTTCAGTGCAGCATGGTCAGTTCGTAAGTGGAATTTCCGCCCTAGAAGATATTTGCTAAAATGCTGCAAGGACTTTACCACAGCAAGCAATTCCCGTCTTGTGACACAATAGTTCCTTTCCGGCTTTGACAACGACTTGCTGAAGTACGCTATCACAATCTCTTGATCACCATTCCGTTGAGACAACACACCGCCAAGTCCTATATCACTTGCGTCTGTGTCAACTATGAATTCCTTGCCCGCATCAGGGTACCCCAAAATAGGTGTTTTGCACAGGCGGTTCTTGAGCTCCTGGAATGCAATATCGCAACTTTCATCCCAGCAGAATTGTCGCTTCTCCTCGGTTAGCTTGTGCAGAGGTTTGGCTATATCTGCAAAGTTCTTCACAAATCGCCGATAATAAGAGCACAAACCCAAAAATGCTCTAACCTGTGTCTTGTCTTTTGGGACCGGCCACTCCTTGACAGCAGCAATTTTCTCTGGATCCGTGCGGATACCTTCTTCCGACACTACATACCCCAAAAAACTAACTTGCCGTTTGAATAGTGAGCACTTCTTTGGACTCAACTTGAGGTTGGCACTCTGGATCTTCATGAGCACGCGTTCCAGGTTTTGAAGGTGCTCCTCAAACGTACGGCCTACGATGATGATGTCATCCAAATAGACGAGACAGGCATCTCCAATTAGCCCGGTAAGTACAAGCTCCATCAACCTTTCAAACGTTGCTGGAGCATTGCACAATCCAAACGGCATGACTTTAAATTGCCACAGACCCTTTCCTGTGGAAAATGCAGTTTTCTCCTTGTCCTTAGGGTCAATTTCAACCTGCCAGTAGCCACTTTTCAGGTCCAGCGTACTAAACCACTTTACGCCTGTGAGCATATCCAGCGTGTCATCAATTCTAGGCAAGGGATAGCTGTCCTTCTTCGTAACGTCGTTCAGGCGGCGGTAGTCAACACAAAACCGCATGCTGCCGTCCTTCTTCTTTACCAGCACCACAGGTGAACACCATGGACTAGATGAAGGTTCAATAACACCATCCTTCACCATTCCCTCAATCATGGTTTCCACTTCCTTTTCACGTGCTACAGGCAAACTTCTTGGCCGCTGACGAATAGGCAATTCTTGTCCGGTGTTTATTTTGTGTTGAACTAAGCCAGTCTTTCCTATGTCAGCTTCGTTTGACGAGAAAACATTGGCGTACTTGAGTAACAACTTCTTCGCCTTGACCATTTCATTCGGGGAGAGAACGCTGCGACTGTCTTCTAAAAGTGTGGTCACTCTCGTTTGTCCATCCTTGCTAGGGGTCCCGGTCGATAGATATTCGCACCGACGCAACCAATCCACTTCCTCACTAGTACCAACCAATGTGCCTTTTTCTATAATCTGTTCCTGATCACAAAGGTTTAACACACGTACTCCTGAGATGTCGGTGGTTCTGACCAAAGTTCGAGCCACTTTCCATGGAAGGTCATTGTCTACCCTTTCCACGAGTACACAACGATGAGCTTGCCCAGGACTCCGAGGAAGACTAACCGGCACAATCGTTTCCGATCTCGGCGGAAGAACAATCTTCTTAAGGCTGTACACATTCCCTGGTAACGCCCCTTCCACGAAAAGTTCTTCTTGTCCACATTTCAAAACACCTTGCTTAACGTCGATCTCACAACAATTCTTCCTCATAAAGTCTAGGCCCAGGATGCAGTCGTCCATTATATCAGCCACGATGACATTATGCAGGTAGATCATGTTGCCTAGCTTCAACTCCATCTCCTTCTCTCCACGGACGGGTATGCGCTGACCGGTGGCTGTCACCAAATTAATGCGTTCTCGGTTGTATGCGGAGTCCCCAAGGAACCGACTTATAAGTTGGGAACTGACAACCGTGCGAGAGGCTCCAGTGTCTATGGTCAGTTTACACGGCGTTCCGTTGACTTCGCCCTTGATGAGTAGGCTGTTCCCATCATGGGTTTGTGAGATCGAAATCCTTGGGGCTCTTTTAACATCAGCCAGCACCCGCCCCGCAGTCCTGGCTTTTACTCGTTTCCCTGCTGCTGCTGGGCGGTGCTATTAGCCGCACTACCCTCTCGAGATCGATCACCTTCCCTTTCTACAGTTCGTTTAGGGCAGCTGGATCGAAGATGGCCCCTTTCCCCACAGCCGTAGCACCTAGGGTTGTAGCCCTTATTGCGGTCCTGAACTGTAGCTGCTGCAACCTCCCTGACGCGGTGGGAACGATGATCCTGCCGCACGGCTTCCACCTCCAGTGCATGGGTCAGGGCGTCCTTAAGCGTCTCGTGGTGCCCGAGCCTCACAGCAGCTCTGACTTCAAGGTCCCGGATGCCGTCGATGAAAGTCTGCACCAGGTTCCCTACAATGAGCACAGGTACAGACTGGTAAGCTTTTCGAACCAACTTCTCCACCTCAAGGGCCCACTGCTGCAGGTTTTCGTTACTGCGTTGCACGCGATCTTTGAGCCGCGCACGAAAGACGTGTTCCAGGTGAGCATCGCCATATCTTGCCTCCAATGCCTCAAGGAGCTGCTCGTAAGTTACTTCCTTACCGAGAGCTTCCAGAACAGTTAAGGCCTGGTCGCGTAGGCCTAGGGTGAGAGCAGTCATGGCCTGACTTTTATTCCAGCCGTTCGCTTTCATGACAGCCTCGAACTGGATTTTGTAGGCCGACCAGGAAGAACTCCCGTCGAACGGCGGCACTTTGAATCCACGTAGCGAAGGTGTTGTAGCTACTACGGGGGCTGTAATTCCATCCCCAAGTTTGAGGTCATCCAGCGTTTTCTTCACATCAGCCATCACGTTGTCAACCCGATTGTTCACTTGGTCGATTCGGGTTTCAGCTTCCGACAGGCGGTTGTCATGTTGAGCAACCCTATCCTTCACCTCCTTTATCTCTTTCCCGAAGGTAGCGTGAAGGTCCTTCCTGAGGAGCATCTGTTCTTCCATACCGCGCTGCAGCTGCTCTTCCAACCGACGGGTCTGTTCCTCCTGTCGGCGGGCCTGTTCCTCCTGTCGGCGAGCCTGATCCTGCAGCATCATCATCAGAGCACCTAAGTCAGGTGCTGCAGATGCAGGAGCTGCTGACGGGCCGGCCTCCGTGGTTAGCAGCTGCCCCTCCGACGTTTGCGGCGTTGCATTACCAATTCGTCTCTGGTCCGTCTCCTGTTGGCGTTGACTTCGGGTACGGATACCCTCCGTGTCGTCTTTAGGTAAAATCGGCATATTTGATCCCACTTCTGACACCAATTGTTACGAACTTGGGGTTCGAGACAATTAAAAACTGCCGATTGAATTACCAAAATTAACACTTTAATTACACAACACTAATTACAATCTAAAATCACACTAATAATAAAACACAGTTCGCCGTTATTTCGCTTCGAAGTATTCTCTTGTATCGCCAATTCAATACTGCCTCGGTCGTGGTCTATACCGGCCTTATAAAGGGCCTCAGATAGTTTCTAGAACCTTCTACTGTAGCGACATCTAGACTGTTCGAGTACATATCGGTCTCGAAATTTCTGGAAGGATCTCGACTCTCCTAGTTCTGCTACTCGACACTAGATGGCGCTAGTGTAAGTAGTGTTGCCATGTACAAGACATTAATAGTGGCGCGCAACACTTTCCTTTACTCGACACTAGAGGGCGCTAGTGTAACTAGTGTTGCCATGTACAAGACATTAATAGTGGCGTGCAACAATATTTTAGCTACAAACGAAGCAACGTATAATAACAATGTTTACAAAGAAATTTTGTAAGCAAAGTATATTTTTGCTTGCGATCTTTTTGATGTGTTTCCTTCGTACATACGAAAACTTTGTTAATATATCAAGCAACGCGGACAAAGTCGCTGGTATCAGCTAGTATTTTATAAAGATAACTGAGGACGCTCACCAGATGTCGCTAGTTGTGACCAACGTGGTGAACATATTTATTATAGTTATTCAATTTCACGATGAAGTTCTGACGTTGGTGTTGTGTTGTGCTAGTGCGTAGGCCTCGAGAGCGCTCCCGAGGCATACGCACTAGCACAATGTGTATGGGCACGCCTAACAACAATCAAAGTCAAAACTTCATCGTGAAATAGAATCACTTTACACAGATGGTCACACAGGGTCATCGTCATTGAAAAGTTTTAAATCATAAGGTTTTCGTTTTCTAGTGTATGCATACACAAAACAAAACATCAGTGCTGCATTCTTTAGTTTTTTTTACACCTTTTTAACTTTTTTTTAATTCTTCTACTTTTAAGATTATCTTTAGTTCAATCCATCTATTTCTAATCTATTTCGTATAAAATAAAACTAATATTTCAGAATGCAACATTAATCTCTACACTTTTTTAACAAATTAACTTCCTCCGCTATGAAATCTGTTAAATATTTCACCTCATTTCTAAAAGGCGCCGCCTTGGTGGCAGAAAGTCGTTGTAACTGTTGGGAGAATTCTTGTGAGTTTGTTGCTGCTTCTTTCCATAAGGTCTCACCGCAGTACTACTTGTCGAAGTTAATATTCAGTTAAGTTAGCATTTGACTTTGAAAAAGAGGTTTACAAAAGTCAATTTTGAATAAAACTATTTGACTTTGATCATATGTATACTCACAGGCCTTCCTTCTGATGGGTGACGAGGTGCATATTGATATGATATCTGGTGTTGAACATGTGAGCACAAACGGGGCACTCGTAGCGGAGAACGTATTTGTCCGTTTTGTGGGCGGCGATGTGTTTCTGCAACTTGCAGGGGGAAGTGAAGCTCTTCGGGCACATGTCGCACACGTACTCTCGCTCTGGTATGTGGTGCTTCCGGTGGTACATCTGGTGGGTGTGGGATTGGAATTTACTCGTGGTGAATGCTATCTATACTTGATGTAATATAAAAATGCGAAAGATTATTTTTGTTTGTTTAAACACGCAAATCTATGGAACTACCCGGCCGATTTGAATGTTTTTTGTATATTATAGCCAAATTCACGAGAAATAGTACAGGCAATCTAGCATTAGGACATATCTCTCAGCTAACTTTAAATATTAATTTTTGTTAAGCAAGTCGAAAGAAAAAGCGTTCCCGAACTGCTTAATCCGCTTGCGCCAGCGTAATGGTGAGTGATACATACATACATACATACATATAATCACGCCTCTTTCCCGTAGGGGTAGGCAGAGACCACTTCTTTCCACTTGTTGCGATCCTTACATACTTGTTTCGCTTCGTCCACTGTCATTATTCCCTTCATACATGCTCTACGGTTTAGGGTACTCTTGACCTGGCCTTTTTTCAGGACGTCCCTGATTTGGTCTAGAAACGTCCGCCTAGGTCTACTCCTTCCAACACTTTCATTCACACTCGCCTTATACACTTTTTTCGTCAATCGTTCTTCATTCATTCTCTCGACATGGCCAAACTATCTCAGCATACCTTCTCAATTTTTGTCACTACATCTTCTTTCAGACCACAACGTTTCCTTATCTCACTATTTCTTATCCTGTTACTCAGTTTAACTCCTATCATACTTCTTAACGCTCTCATCTCAACTACATTTATTCTGCTTTCATGTTTCTTCTGCCATACCCAACTTTCACTTCCGTACATGAGTGTCGGAACCAACACCCCCTCATACACAGCCAAACCAGCCTTGTTAAGACACCTTCCAACTACTCATAAAGGAGTGCAAAGCTCCAATCACCATGTTTCCTGCATTCACTCTTCTTTCGATATCACTCTCACACTTTCCATCTTGTAAACTTTGAACCCAGATTCACAAACTTCTTCACCTGTTCAATTTGTTCATCTCCAATCACGATATTGCAGTCTGTCACTGCCTCATCTCTTTCAAACACCATCACTTTCGTCTTCTTTACATTCATCTTCATTCCCTTTTTAACAAAAGCTCCACTCATAGCAGTTACCATCTCCTGCAACTCCTCGGCCGAAGACGGAAGTAATACTTGGTCATCAGCATAGAGAAAACATTTGACGAGTATCTCATTCATTCTCACTTACTTTCACTTCATTCTCTTTTAAATCTGTCAAGTGAGTGATACGTAAATATAAGTAGGGTAATATTGGGGCTGCTGTATCACTCACGTCCGTTTGCGATGCAGTTCGCCCCACCTTTTCGAGGGCTTTTTTAAATCAAATATTTATGCATGCTATTAATTAAGATATTAAATAACATAATTATTTAAACTTACCTTATCTATATAGGGTAACTATTATAGTATTTAGTGTGCTAGCATTTAGATATTACATATTATTAATTATAGGACGATAGGGAGATTTCTTTTATATTGGTCAATTGGTTGTCTAGAAGCGATCGCTACTTGCAGTAATTTTTAATATCCTATCTATTCTTGGACTTGCGTACTAGAAACAGAAACAGAAACTTTTTTATTCAATATAGATTATAAATAATACTTATTGAAAGTCACTCTTTTGTTTGATTACCACTGGTTCGGAAAAAACCTCTGTCCTGGGAAGAACCAGCAAGAAACCCAGCGAGACTTTTTTTTTTAAAAATAACAGCTTACAATCATGATGTTACACAAATTAACAACACAACAAATTAGAAATAGCTTGGTAGCGATCACCTCATTTCCAGGGGTTATTAGCATCCATAAATTCCTTAATATTATAATAACCCTTTTTATACAAACTTAGTTTAATAGTTTTTGAACTTTGAGCAGGTCAAATTTTGTATATTTTCTGGAATTTTGTTGTAAAAGCGTATACATCGCCCAAGAATGAATTACTGACTCGATGGAGTCGAGTAACTGGTACTACTAGCTCGTGTCTGTTCCTAGTATTTACAGAATGAATATCACTTATTTTTGTAAAACTACTTTTATTTTTGTGTACGTACATTACATTTTCATAAATGTATTGAGAGGCCAAAGTTAATATATTAATTTCCTTAAATTTTTGTCGCAGCGACTCTTTAGGCTTTAAATCATAAATTGCTCTTGTGGCCCTCTTCTGTAAAACAAATATAATTTCAGTTGCAGCTGCGTGTTCCCATAGCAAAATACCATACGACATTATGCTATGGAAATAGCTAAAGTAAACTAGTCTAGCTGTTTCAACACTGGTAAGGTACTTCTAATCTTTTTTACAGCATATGCTGCAGAACTAAGTCTGCTTGCTAGTTTTGATATATGGGGGCTCCATTGAAGCTTCGCGTCTAGTGTGATTCCAAGAAAAATTGTGGTATCTACAAGACTCAGTTTCTCCCCATTTAAAATTACATTAGTATTTAATTGTTTGACATTTGGAGTCATGAATTTCATACATTTCGTTTTAGTGCCATTTAAATGGAAATTATTAACATTGAACCAATTTACTAATTTAGATATAGCATTATTTACTTCGTCATATTTTAGTAATTGTCGACTTAATTTGAAAATTAAAGACGTGTCATCTGCAAATAATACTATATCATGGTTATCCCCTACTATGTAAGGTAAGTCATTAATGTATACAAGAAACAGAAAGGGGCCGAGAATTGAGCCTTGAGGCACGCCCATTTGTACCATCGATCCGGAAGAGCTCATATTGTTAATGACAACTTTTTGCGTTCTCTTAATTAAATATGAAATAATTAATCTAAGAGCATCACTTAGAGATGGATATTTGGCACATTTTATATATATCTGAGCTTAACTTATGTCAAATATTTTATTTCTTGCAGCCAAATCCAGCGATAGAAAGGTTTTTTTTGATAGGTACAATTATACAATACTTTCGTTTTGCAATAAAAGTGGTTCACAATAAAGGAATTTTGCAATGTAGGTAGGTATGTCCTTAATATAAGTATGTTATTACATACCAACTAGACTGAAAGGCGTAAAATACTTATGTAACTTATTTAAACAGTAAATGCATATAAAACATATTTTACCTAAATCAAGCATCGATAAGCATAGAAAAGTTTTCATTTCAAACTTTCAGAAAAGTCAAAAAATGGATTTTAAGTTAACCTGTAGGAGCCTGTTGCATACTAGATAGCTCAAATGTATTTGGTTACGAAGTTCAAACTACTAATACCATCATAAATTGAGCCGTCATGTTTTTATTTCTTTTAAAATTAAACTTTTTAATGAATAATGTTTTATCTGGTTATCTAATCAGAATAAAAGTAATACTTGTAGTAGCTAAAAAAAATGTAAAAACACCTTAAAAGAAAACCAGAAGTTAGACAGCTCAAAGTTTATCGGCTTTTATAACACAAAACCAGAAACACCAATATAATAAGAACCCTCTTATGAATGCAGCTTCCTTAAACAAATTTTGATCTCAAATAACTGCGACAGAGTGGCGTCTGCAGTGTAAGCTGTATCATATTATTAGGTTAAGGTGTAGACACATTGATAAATTTTTAGTTAATGGATTTTAGACTTTATACAGAGCATTCATAGGAATGGTTATAAATGTGATTTAACAAAAAATAATAATTAGTTTTTGGCTAAAGTATTATTGTGTAATGGGCTTTAGAATTCTGCATATATAAGGAGAGCTAGAATGCGCTGCAAGTCATTCCTAATTTTCTTTTTTAATCGAAGTGACGCGAACGTGTTCATCAAACCTGTAAGTATGTATGTGTCTTTTTATTATTTTTATTCTTTTTTATTGAGTTCATACTATATAATCTAATATATAAAAATTCTCGTGTCACAGTGTTAGTGATCAAATGGCTGGACCTTTTTATGAAACTTTGGGTCAGCTAGGTATGTATATAAATATGTAATAAAATAATATGTGTACAAGTGATCTATGACCTGTTATATTAACTATAGAATCACTGATTTTCAGGACGTTGACTAGCAAAATTGTCAACCCATTTGACTCGGATGATGATAGTACTCTCAATACGAAATCCAAACAAAAGAAAACGTTGAAAAGAGAAGAGGAAAGTCGTTCTGGATTCAGATAGCGAATCGGAAGCTGAGTCTATAAAAAAGAAAAAACTTAACAGGTCTTCGTTTGCATTTGATTTAGAGGTAAGTTCAATTTAAATTTATTAATACAATTGTCGTCTTGGTCAGTGACCCAAATTGCCAAGCTGAGGGCCATGGGTTCGAGTCCAGGTCGACGCAGATATTTATTTCACAGATAAATATTTGTACTCAGGTCATGGATCTTTGTCGTTTTTATTTTATTCTTGTATTTATTTAACCAAGTTTAGTTTATTCATATTAGTAATTAGTGCTTTTGAAAAAACTTTGTTTTGAGTATTATCATCGAGATCGCCATCACCAATGGGTCATTATCAGGCGACTCATTATTTGGTTGATTTCGGTGGCATTTTTTGTTTTTAAATTTAGGCCTTACTAACATAAAATATCTATTCTAGAGTTAACTTAAAATATATAAGTAGAAGAGGGAATCGTATAGACCGAATGGTTAAGAAGTTATTTAATTTAAAAAAAATGGTGTCCACCGAAATCAATATTTTGATCACCGAAATCAAATAAATATAAAATAATTTATATTTCAAAGATAATTTTCTTAAGGTGTATTTACTGCCTAAGTACTACTATGAACTTATGATCTGTAAAGAATTGCAGGTTAATTTGACAATAAAACATTTTATTTTATCAAGACTTATGTGTAATCTTTGTTATTAATTATTGTGAAAACTTACAAAAATCAACTTTGGTAGGAAGCGTTAAATTATTATATTAAATGTCATTAAAGATAGTAGTCTTAAACTAACATAGGAATATAGGAACTTAAAAAAAATCAGCATTCTTGGTCGAGATCTAGCTTAATCACAGGCAATTTACTTATTGAAATAAATTACTACAAAATCACTTAAAAA